TCATCATCATCATCATCATCATCATCATCATCATCATCATATGATAGAATGAACAGAGCTCCCTTTATTTCAGCTATATATGCTTTCTAATTTCTGTATATCAGGTCTCGACACCATGTTATAACTTTGCTTCACACCTGTCTTGGCCCGCCGCTCCCTTCACCTGTTCCTGCTGCTGGATGAACCTGTGAAAAAAACCACCGCCATTGTTATCATCACATGAAAACTTCATTCGCCAAATTTTTACATCAAGTGAAAAACTTCATTCAACTTGCCTGGAATACCCTCTCCTTCCTCACGCTACGAGATCGATTCTTTAACTCTCCCCTATGCGTAATCATCTCGTCGAGTATCTCCGCGTCGAAGAATTCCTAGTCGTGCTTGTTCCGCCTGATCTCCCCTGAATCCATTTTATGTAGTTTACATAAGAAAACAGAGTATGGAAAAATAGTAACTTTAGATCTACAAAACGGGTTGAAAAGGAATACATTTTGGCAGGAGAGATTTTCGTTACCATGAGGTTTCTCTTGGGGCCGCCAGAGATCTCTTCGTACTTCGCGGCATCGAGTTCTTGGAGATGGTCTTGTTGGAACATCTTGGGGAGCATGTGTTTCCTGATGAGGATTAGGATGAAGAAAGGCAGAGGGAAGAGAAATTCAGCTATGGGGATCCACGTGATTCCAAAGCACATGAGAAAGTAAATGAATTGCAACAAAGTGAACTTAGCAATGGCCTTAAGCGGCACTGACTCCACAAACGATGCATGGAAACCTTTCAAGATCCTGCATCAGAGATTGGTAAAACTTATAAGTACCCATTGGCCATCCACATTCTGATGTGAATGAAAGGTTTTAGCCAGATCGATTACTTACTTGTGGCGATGACTATGGGCGACGAAGAGCATCAACATCCTTTTCCAGAACTGGTTTCCTGGAAGACTTTCGATGGCCATGTAGCCGAAATATATAGGAGTGGGGAACAAATATAATTTTTTTTGTTTCTGGTATTGCACGTATTAATTGGAGGGAAGGGGAACAAATATATGGGAGTGGAAAGTGGGATGGCTAGGTTTACAAGCGATTGAAGCCAGGGACGGGGACGGGGATGGGGCAGGAGTCAGAGTCGAGTGGTGGTGGTGGGGAGTGTTGCTACGGTGGTCGGATTCCGCGGCGGCGGTGGAGGTTGGGTCGGTAGGGTATGGGGGTTTGTAGAAAATAAATTAGTTTTTTAATGAATATAATAATGAGGTGGAAAATTTAAAAAATAATTTTTTAGTTGCCACGTCACTAAGTTAACGGTCAACTTTGAGAGTTGACTGCCATGTCAGCCAAAGTTAACGGAGTTGGATGGAGAGTGACCAAACGTGAACGGTTTCAGTAAACTGAAGTACCACCAATGGATTTAAATATTTCGAATAACCAAACTTGTACGTTTTTTGTAATTTCAGTGACTAACCATGCAATTAACCCGATATAATTGAAGCGCCGGTTGGATCAAAATCGGCCGACATTTTCCGGTTTTACGATCAAACCTTAGAAACTGACCGGCATGCCAAATTGAATCAATTCTCTCTAGCGTTTCAGATCAGGTCCGGTTTTTGATTTTACTGGTTCAACCGACCGGTCCGACACGATTTCCTAGACCATGTTTAGAGGCACATAATTGAAACTATTGAGGCAAATTATATATATGTTACATATAATATCCTTTTAGAGGCAAATACAATATGTGGCTTCTTTGGGGCAAAGAGGGGTGTAAGGCAGGGGGACCCTCTCTCCCCATACCTTTTCACCATTGCTATGGAAGGATTGTCATCCCTGCTTAACAGAGCTGCTGTAAGGAAGCACCTTGTTTATCATCCTCAGTGTAAACACATTGGGTTAACACACCTATGCTTTGCAGATGACCTTCTAATCTTTACAGAGGGCTCTGCACAAGCAATATGCAAGGTACAAGAGTTGTTGAATGATTTCTACTCCCTTTCTGAGCTTAAATGCAATCCGAGTAAATGTGAAATTTATTTTGGGGGCTATCTGGGCTTTACAAAAGCAATGCTCTCAAGTTGTCTGGGTTCCACGAGTGAAAACTCCTAGTCAGGTACTTGGGGCTTCCATTATTCTCTGGGAAGCTCTCCTCAGCTGATTGTGATAAGTTGGTGGAGAAGATCACTCACAAGATTGGGTCCTGGCGAGCAAAGAAATTGAGTTATGCAGGTAGGCTAGAACTGATTAATTCAGTGTTCATGGGCATGCTGCAATACTGGATGCAAGTATTTCTCCTGCCTAAAAAGGTTTTAAAGAAAGTGTATGCTGTTTGCTCGAGGTTTCTTTGGCATGGGGGGAATGAGGGTAGAGCAAAAATAGACTGGGATAGAATGGCTCGACCAAAAGCAGATGGTGGTCTTGGCATCAAGGATCTCCTAGTTTGGAACAGGGCCTGTTCTATTCGAATGGTCTGGCTTCTAATGATGAAGAGTGGTACAATTTGGGTGGCCTGGATGTGGAGATACAGGGTCAAACAGGGTAGTGTTTGGACTATGAATGTGAGTCCAAGTAGTTCGTGGGCATGGAGAAGGTTCCTCAAGCTTCGACCATTGCTTCAGGCTCATCTGACAATGTCTGGTGATACTCCTATTTGGGATGGTAAGTTGATGCCTGTATATAAAGTGTCCACTGTGTGGAATTCTTTGCGCATTGAACATCAAAGGGTAGAGTGGGCAAAACTGGTATGGGGGAAGAAACACCTACCTAACAATAGTTTGCTTGCATGGCTGGTCCTACTGGATGGCATCATTACCAAAGATAAGCTGGTAAGATGGGGTAAGACAATGGATGGTTCTTGCTTGCTTTGCAGGGGATCGGTGGAGACCAGAGAGCATCTGTTCTTTCAGTGTTCTTACTCTTTGCAGGTTGTTTCATGCTGGAGAGAGGGTAATTTGTTATGTAGACCGAGTTGGCAGGGAAGTGTGCAGGCTGATGTTGCCTTGAACAAGAGGGGGACTTCGACATGAAGGCTTGCAGGGATCTTCTAGTGTGCTTGTATTGCTTACCTGTGGCGTGAGAGATGCAGCAAACAACACCAATTGCCACCCAGAGATGCTGCAACTCTTGGCAGATTGATTATCTCGGATTTATTGTACCTGGGTAGTGAGGATAGTGACTTACAGGCAGACCTGGTTGCTGCTGGTTTTCTCTAGGTTGAGTTGGGAAGTTGAGTAGTCAGGTGGGAGTTATTCGGGGGGTTTTGTTTCTCTGCAGGGTTATTCACCTTGAGTGACCCTTTTCGTTGTATCAGTCCCTATATGTACTCTGCATATAGATTTGGTAATACAATTGCAACTGATTCAACGAAAAAAAATATTATTTTCCTCAACAATTAGCCGCTATATGTGGGTTTTATTGTAGTGAAGTTTTGTGGTTGAGTAATGGGTAAGTAATCTTGTCGAGTAGGATTAGGATTAGTTAGGGTGAAGAGTTTTAATAATACGTACTTACAATGCTAGTTCAATTGTCTGAAGAAAAAAAAACTCTTTCAGCTTATTGTTTGTTACTAAGTTATCTTTGCTTTTTCACGACATTAACATAGTAATTTGATCTCGTAGAGCCCGTAGACTTAGGGAGGGACTAGAATGCTAACATTTTTTTGTTAGCATGCTGCTAACCACTAGTTTTGCTCCAGCCAATAGGAACATTTCGTTTGGATTCCAGTTTCACTTTCTACTCATCACTCATGACTCGTTATCCATTATTGAGTTCGCCATTGTGAAGGCTATCATCCATGTACATCCTACTCCAACCACATGCCACAACAGAGGTTGGCCTAAATCTAACCTTTAACTACTTCAGATTAGTAAAGCTAAAATTGAAGAGAACTCAATGAATTGAGAAGAGAAAGGGAAGATTGGGGACGAAGAAAAGAGGAAGAAGGAGAATAGAGGCATAAGGGAAGAGAAGAGAAGAAGAAGAACTCTGATAGAATGAAGAAAATAAAGATTAAGAATCCGAAAAATATAGTTTATGTTATCTAAATTGTTATTCGTCGCTTTAAAATTTAAATTTTATCGTCCTAAAACATAATAAATTGACACATTTATCCATAGCACTACTTTCTAACTGAACATTAAACAAACACAATCCCTAATTTCTAACTTATATTGCCACCGCTGCCGCCCACCACCCGATTTTGTTGACATTCTCTAAAGGAGAAGGTTTCTCCTCTTGTCGCTGCTGCTCCTTGTACTGCCGCCGCCGCTCCTGGTGCATTTGCTAGCAAGGAGGAAGAAAGAAGCATGAAGGAAGAAGAAGAGGCGGCACAATTTAGAGACCCTTCCCATTGCGTTTGTTGCTTTTGACTCTAATGTCCATTGCTTCTTTTGTTGTTGTCAAAGTGAGATGGATCAATGATATAATTAGTACAATTTAGAAACGAGTTTCACATGGTGATGACAACGAGGATTGGGCATGCGGTGAGTGTCCACTTGGCAACGAGTGGATATATCATATATGTATATATTTGTTTTACGGTTTAAGTGTTTGAAAGACACAAAAATAAACTAAGGGCATTAGAGTAAATTCAACATAATTAGGGTGATGGATAATGATTTTTAGGGCGACGAATAACAATCATCGTATGTTATTTGAGTAATCCAATAGGGCACCAAGATGAAACCTTTATAGCTTTTATGAAATATTCAAAATAATCCCTCTACTTATGCTCCTTTTCCTACGTTGGTTCATTAGAAATCTCAATCCCTTTAAGACATATTTGTCCTAAAGTCTGAAAACCATTAAGACCAACATAAAAAACAATGAATTGACTAAAACAAAAGACCATCTATAAAAATTAAGAACAAGGCATATGCTTCAACCCAATAACGAGTCTCTACAAAACAAAAATAGAATATAGGTACTTTTTCTAATCGAAATTGACGACCCAAAAGGATGCATTATTAGTCATGAATCATGACCACCGAAAACTTATTTCTTATGTTTATTATAATTGTTTCCGATGCCCTTTTATCGGAAGCCAAACCCCCCACCCACCCAAACAAACAACAAGATGATGGCTTTTAAGGCTCAACCACACCACAGCCATCAGCTTTCATAGGCGGAGGCGGCACGGCCTTCAACACGGCACTCCGCTCGAAGAAATTCGTCGGTCGGAGCTCAAACCCGCCGGACAAAGTCGGCATCATCGGGAAATCCTCCTGACAAGGCACGTGGTGGAACCCAATCACGTGCCACATCACAATGTCCTCGTTCTCAATCTTCCTATTCCTCCTAGTCCAAACCGCCAACCCATCCTCCCCTTGACTCTGGTCAACGTACTTCCCGCCGGCGTACCGCTCCGTCTTGTTATACGGCGTCACCCAAATGTTGTAGTTCGTGAACGACCCCCGGATCTGCGGGCCGTCGTCGGGCGCCAGAAGCGGGTGGATCACCGGTCCGGGTATCAACCGGTATCCGTGCGGGTTACCCGGTTTGGTCTTCTTGTTAGGGTTTTCGATGACCAGTTCGGTCGGACCGGCACCGAGCCGAATTTTGGCCTCCGACTCGGTCCGGGCCGTTTCGGTCACCACGGTCCAGTAGCTCTTCCTCGGGGTACGGTGGTGGCCCGTGTTGGTGTTTCTTCGTGGGACGAGGTTTTTCTTGACGAACGAATTGGTGGCGCCGTCAACGTCGATGTCGAGGTAGTAGGTCAGGAAGTGGTCGTGGTACAGTCCGATGGTGTGTTCCGCAAGGTACGTGCCGTGTGCTTCCTCGCTCGCGGCGGCCTGGTCCGCGTGAGTGTAGTTGGCCGCTTTTACCTCCAGGATCCCGGTCAGGCCGACCTGGGTTTTGATCGAACCGCTCGGCTTGAACTCCCAATCGATGACGTGGTCGTAGTTCCCGACTGTGACGATCATCCGCACCACCAGACTCACCTCCGGCCTAGATTCAGCTATCTGCAGATTTGAATGGAAAAAATCATTTATTAATACGAGTTTCTTTTTTTTGTAAACAACCATAACATGTTTTTATTTATTTATATTCGGTAAGAATGGTAAAAAAAAATATTCGTCACCTATATTCAAAACTTTTTGTATTTCATAAACGTCTTAGTATTCGAATATTATATATACCCACATGTGGTTAATAATTTAAATTTTTTCAAATTTTAGGTGTATCCCATGACTGGTGACAGACCTAATATTGTTGAAGATGGGTGTCGTCGATAAACAAATAATTAAATAAAATTACTAGAAATTAATTCACAAGTTCACAATATTTTATGTACAACTAACCAAGACGACTTTTCATATTCTGAAATATTTTAAAAATATATCCATTTCTCATTTTGTAAATCAAACATTTTTCAATATATACAACCAAATAATCATTAATAAATTGGTTATTAGAACGGTGTCGGAAATTTCGCATTAATTGGTTATTAGAACAGAGGTCATTATAACACGACTTGTTTTAGCTGGGCAGAAGAGAAGGATGGAGAAATAGCAGCAATTCGAAACTCTTTGAGAATTTGATTTGATTCACATTCACACACATACTGACCGTGACATCAGGGATGGCAAGCTCGGTGTGGCGCCACATGACCTCGCCGGCGTGCCTCTCGAAGATACAAAAGACATTGGGAACGTGGACGGGAGTGCCGTCAGGGCCGGCGTAGAAGGCGTCCATGTAGACGGCGTGGGAGGGGCAGTCGCCGTTGGGAACCAGAGAAACGGCGGAGACGCCGAAGCCGAACTCGCCGCTGTCGAAGAAGGTCTTGTAGTAGTAGTCCTCCGTGGGGTCCTGGTAGGGGACGAAGAGCTCGGAGATGTGGCCTCTGTACATGACGCTGCGGAAGCCCTTCTGGTCCGGGTCGTAGATTCGGGCCATGGATATGACCAGACCCGGACGGGCGTCGAACGACACGTGGAATTCCCAGTTCATCCATCTGCATGCATGAAAGAAAGTCAGTTCCATGGTAGTACGTATGTGGATTAGAATCGTTTGTCTAGTTAGTACACAAGACGTACAACTGTCATCGCACTTTCCGGTACGTAGTTACAGACTTACGGCCCTAGTTTTTTTTTTTAATCCTTTTACAAGGCTCAGAGATACTTGTTACCACTTTCCGGGGATTTAATTATTTATAAAAAAAACAAAAATAATATTGGTTATCCATGTAATTGTCTAACTAGCAATAATCCAACGGAAAATTATAAAAATTTACCTGACGACATTGCCATCAATAGTGAAACCCGGAGCATTCTCCTGGACCAGCCTAGCACCATTGATACGAGGACCATGAGGCAGGGGTAATTTCGACAATCTGTACTCCGTCCCTTCAGCTCTGGGCATGGGAGCGACTTCCCTGTCTTTGTACTCCACGATCCTCATCTCATCCAAGTCTACCACAATGGTCAAACCTTCCACCGGCAGCAAATAAACACTCACCGTGTCCTTCTTCGAAAAGCACTGGATCTTCACCACCCTGATAAAAAAAAAAATACAACTCTATTATATATTTATATTACTACTCGTACTCGTAGTATGACATAATACTACTCGTAATCTAATACGTGTTGGAAATAAGTAATTTCATTCTTTATTTCCAACACGTACCTCTTCCCGATGAACTGCTTCTCCTCAGCGAACCAGCCCACGGTGAACACGGAGCACACCACCTGGGACACGTCGATCCCTCTCTTCGCCGCTGACCGGAGGAACGGGCCGTAAGTCAGCGGGAGGTCGTTGGCCGCGGTCTGCTCTTCGAGCGTGAGCGAAGGGAACCCAGGCCCGCGGTGGACGTGCTTGCTGACGACCTTCCGGGCCTTTAGGTCCACCACCAGCTCGTGGGTCTGCTTGTGGACTCGGAGGATGGCCTGGGCCCGACGCGGGAGTGGCTCGGGCTCGCGCTTGGCGAGCCATGACAGGACGTTGTGTTTCTCCGGCTCGTCGAGGGCGACGTAGTGGAAGACTGGGTTGGAGCGGGGTGGATAGGATTTCTTGACGATGAGCTGGACCAATGAGAGCTCTTCCTGGGTTAGCGGGTCAAGTGGGTGGTGGGTTTTGGAGCTTGAGATTGGGGAGAAGATGGAGAAGAGGAGGACCAGGAGGAAGGGTTTGATGGTGGCCATGATACAAATTAGGGTTTTGTGAAAGGGGGACCTCGTTGTGTGGTGATGGAGGGAAATGGAAGGGCTTCGAGTCCTTGTTATATAGGGTTTTGGTGAGAGTGTAGAACAAGAAAAGAAAAAGAAAAAAAACAATGGACACGTGAAAATCTGGACCAGTGTCTTGCTGTCAGTGTGGTTTGATTTTGGGCGGATTGCATGCCCATAAAATATCATTCCCATCCCTATTTTTTAAAGGGTTAATACTGTAATTTGGCCCGAAGTTTGGCGTAAGTGACAGTTATGGCCCGATTTTTCCAATAAGACATTTGTGACCTACTTTTCAAAATTATGAACAAATTTGGCCCAAAACTTATTTTGACTGTTAATATTAACGGTCAAACATATATTCCGTCAATGAGTCAGCATCCAGCGCTGAGTTGACATCCATGTCACTTATAAATAAAAAATATAAATAAGAGAACAAATATAAAAAAACAAAATCCTAAAAACATCTAGGGTATCCTTATCTTCTGCTTCTTCTAAGTTCTAACCTCACCTCCGATTCATCCATCGCAACTCCCTCCCTACAACATCCAACCTTACCTTCGATTCCCCCCATGTCTGATTCCCTCTCCTTACGGAAAGCCAGCCTTATCGTCAAACTATGCAGTGGGAGGTGAAGCAGGTGCGACGGTGGTCGTGGTGGCTTCGGTGGTTGGCTGCCGCTAATTTGATATAGGAGAAAAGAGAGGACATGGGGGTAACCGATGTTGTGGTGTGATGATTCCTGGCGGAGATCTGGAGGAGAGATGATGGTGACTGACAACGATGGCTGATGGCGTATCTACGGAGGATAGCGTTGATCTCTGCAACTGTGGCGTCGAGAGTGGCGAAGCAGAACAAGGGTTGCGGTCGCGAGGAATGGCATCGATCTTGACGATGATGGCTTCGAGGGCGGCAATGTAGATCTTGAAAACGACGACGAGCAAGGCGGCATCGTCGAGGTAGTGGGAAATTGAACGAAGGAGCTGATGGAGGACGCGACGGCTGAGGGTTAAGGAAGATGGAGTGGCGGCAGAATTAATGGGGACGAGTTGGTGTTGCGGTGGAACGCGGGGTGGGTTGTTTGCCGAGAGTGAAGAGAAGAAGTAGGGATTTTGACTTTGTGGTCCTTCTTTATAATTGTTGTTTATTTTAAATTTTTTTTCATAAAATTAAATACATAATTATTTAATGATGTGGAGACAAACATCAGCCACATCAGCAATATTTTGCTGAGTCATTAACATTAAGAATGTTTGACCGTCAATTTTAACGGTCAACATAAGTTTCGGGCCAAATTTGCCTATTATTTTGAAAAGTAGGCCATAAATGTCTTATTGAAAAAGTCAGGTCACAACTGGCATTTGTGTTAAACTTCGGGCCAAATTAGGGTATTAACCCTTTTTTAAATGATGAACTCATATATATCCCGTGTGGAGCTTTCCCGTTCTCATCTCCGTTCCTTCAATTTTCATCCTATCGAAAATTTGAAATTCAATGTAATTGTGTTGAAAACACATATGATTGTAGAGGTCTACATCGAACGAACATTATAGTAATCATATGTCATTAACTATTACAAAGAGTAAGAGAAACATAATAAAAATATAATTTATTTTTGAAGACTAGGGCCGAGAGATGACACAATATATATGCATTGATGAAATAGGGTACCCTTGTGTTGTTATTGTAACAACACTAGTCTCCAACCAATAGGAAGTTAGGGTTGTGATGACTTTTTATTAGTTTAGTTGACCTAGTGTAAAATCAAAACAGGGATATAAATGTCATTATGAAAAATATGTTTAAATAATAATAATAAAAAATAACTAAATAAATTCTTTTATTTTTTTGTCCAACATTTTGGCCGTCGGAATTTCGGTCTCCGGAATCTGGCCGCCGGTCACCGGAATATGCCTTTTGTCGCCGGAATATGCTATTTTGTCATCGGAATATGCTCACTGTCGCCGGAATATGCTCACCGTGGTCGGAATATGCTTATCGGCGTCGAAATCTAGTCATCGGGGTCGGAATATGCCTATCGGCGTCGGGATCTGCTCACTGACGGTCATCGGAGCTTGGTCAACGACCACCGGATGTTATGGTCTACATTGTGAGATTTATGGTTTGGTTTCTCATATTTTTGTATGCTTTTTGTGGTTTGCTTTATCGTGTTTTTGGTTTGCATTAAGAAGTTTCTAGTTTGCTTTATTGTGTTCAATGCAGTCAAAATCTAGATTTTAAGTAAAATCGAAAACTGAGGTAGAATCGAAATCGAAGATTAAAATCGTAAAATCGTAAGATTTTAAGGTTCATATTAAAATAAATACTTAAAACACTAGATAGTAATAAAAAATGCATATCTTGAATAACAATCAACCACATAAAGTATAATTACTTCCCAAGATAAGTTTGTTTGCTAAACAAACACAACTAATCCATATATTTTTCTTGTACATAATAGAAACACACAAATAAGAAACCTGAAACATTATAGATATCATTGTTAATCAATTGTTAAGAGTAGAAAATCACATAAGATCGTTAGGATCAACATTAACATCACTTACACATCATCGTCATCATCCTCACCCTCACCCTCAATCTCATCGTTTTTATTTGTTTAAGGACTAATATCATTACTCTTATGAACACTTGAAGTACTTTCACCATTAACCATATTTCCTTGATTACCATCATCTGGAAAAGATAACTGATTGATTGATTCATTCCCTTCTTAATTGATAAAAGGTTGGGTTAGTGGTGCTGAAGGATTGGGAGATGAACAAAAGCTTGCAATGTAATGGAGATTTGGATTATTGTGAGGGTGGTGGGAACAAACTACAAGCTAATTGGGAGGGTGGAAGATATCGTTGATGGAAGGAGTTGGGCGCCGACGTGCGAAAGAGGAAAGATACGAGGAAGAGAATGAAAATAAATTGAGGGTTAACTATCAGGTTGGGGTTGTGTTGTTCATTATGTTGGGTTGGGGAAAGTAAATTTGACTCGGTTCATGGGCATAACCCAACTTGACCGGCCTAATTTTGATCCTATTGATATGAACCTTGAAATCGTACAAAAACGTAGAAATCGTAGATTTTATGGATTTTAGAGTTTTAAATCGGGATTTTATGGGATTTTAAGGTTCAAAGATTTCACAGTAAAATCAAGATCGGAACCCATAGGTAAGATCGTAAAATCGTAAGATTTTAAGATTAAAATCGGGATTTTAACTACATTGATTGTGTTTGTGGTTTGCATTGAGAAGTTTCTGGTTTGCTTTCAAAAATTTTGTGGTATGCATTGTGAGGTTTCTGGTTTGTTTTAATATATTTGTGGTCTGCATTAGGAGGTTTTTGGTTTGTTTTCTTTGTTGTTTGCTTTTCTGTGTTTGTGATTTGCATTAGGGTGTTTCTGGTGTGCTTTTCAAAATATTTATGGTTTGCTTTGTGAGATTTCTGGTTTGTTTTAGTTGACTTGTGGTTTGCTTTAGAAGGTTTATGGTATGCTTTTTTGTGGTTTGTTTTATCGCATTTGTGGTTTGCATTAGGAGGTTTTTGGTGTGTTTTAGATATAATTGTGGTTTGCTTTGTGGTGTTTCAAGTATGTTTTACGCAATTTGTGGTGTATATTAGGAGATTTCTGGTATGCTTTTAAAAATAATTATAGTATGTTTTGTGACATTTCTGTTATGTTTCCAAAGATTAGTGGTTTGTATTATGAGACAATCTCACGGAACACGTGGCAACAATGACATCTGTTTCACAACCTAGGATCCGGACGCGGCCAGGTCCTGCAAGCAAATCGCCATCCGCACTCTTCTGATCGAAATCTCCCGCCGCCCCCACCTCCCTTCTACTATCTCCAGCGTCTTCAAACTTTCAATTGGAGACTACAAGGCCGGCACGCGGAGCCCGCTCGGCGACAACACTTCAACGTTGGGAATGCGACGACTTTTGTTTGGAGCTTGCGAGATTGTAGAGTTTTCCGGTGTTGGAGAAGACGATGATCCCAACCTCGGCGTCGCAAAGGATGTCCAGCTCTTTTGCTTTCTTTAGGAGTCCATTCCTCCGCTTGGAGAACGTCACCTGCCTACTCGTCGAATTGTCTATCCTCCTTATCTCTATTTTCCCTCTCCCCATTGCTCTTTCTCTCATCAACCAAACAAAAGCAGCAAACCGGCTGCTGCTCGGAAAGAAGGAAAGGAAGGAGGAACTCCGACTTAGATTAGGGGAACAATTAGTATAAGGTGAGTAGAAGAAGAAAAGAGTAGAAAGAAAAAGAGAGGAGAGAGAGTCAACCAAGGGTGTAGAATGTTTTACTTTGACCGCTCGGCGACTGCGCTTTAGCGCCGGGAATGCGAAGGCTTCTGATTTTCGTGGCTCTTCGGCGGCGATCTGGCGGGAAGGATTTTCTTGAGAAGGAGGTGCTAGAACCAAGTGCAGCGGTTGACGAGGTAGTGAACACAGGAAGGAGGAGGGACAGGCGACCCTCTTCTCATCCATGGAAGTGGCATCGTGACTTCCTGGCAGCTACACATCGTCATCAATTCCAATCGTCGGCGATTCAATCTCTATTCTTGTCGTAGGCCCAATCGTCGGTGATTCTTGGCGCTATTGGAGGGATTGTGGTCGTTGTTGATGTCTCCGGGAATCTGGCAGAGTGGAGAGCGGCATTCCCGGCGCGGAGGAGAAGCTCCCGTCAAGAAATAAATTTGGGTAATTAATAATTTAATTTAATTTCGAATTTTGTTAAATTTTGTGAGTTTCCGTTTTTACCCTTGTTGTTACTATAACAACAGTATTGGTGTTGTTATAGTATCCGGACCCACTGCGCATCATCTATCATTGTGGAATTGATACACTCGTGAAATAATTGAGTACTCTTTATGGTACGCTTTCATAACATATGATATGCTCTTATTTTAATACCAATAAATACTAGCCTGATATAAACGTAAAAAATGTCTCAATTTTTTGTTCCAAAAATATATCAAAGTGGATATCATTTTAAAGAGCACAATTAATCTGATTTATCTGTGAAAAAGAGAAAAAATTAAAACTTTTCAAAAGAAAGAGGGTGTACTAATGTGGTGGCTAATGGTTGGGTTATACATAGTTACCGACGGAACCGATCATATATCCGTGCCATATACCCAAAACTAGAGTTGAACCCTAGACTTGCCTTAAATATAGTTTTTATTATTTTAATTTTATGTTGTCTTGTTATGCGTATTAAATTGATTGGGCATTTGTTGTCCTTAATTAATAAATGAAAACCTACATGTTTAACACGACACTCTTGGTAGGAACGTGCGAACGGCAATGATCCGGGTCGGATATCTTCATGCCCATATGCACCTCATGATTGGTTGGATAATTTATTATGGGACGTATGTCAGGATATGTCGACCTAATGAATATGTAATCTATATTGAAAATATTAAAATATTGGTTATTTTTATTAGAAGACCAAAAAAGAAGCCATAATGTGATAAATGTTGTTAAACTATTGGGAAAATGAGATTTTTCACTTATTTGCAATTTTATTATAACTAAAATATGAGGTGATAATAGAAAAAATTTAAAATTTTTGACTAAGATTACATGTAATTAGGCAAGAACGAGAAACTGGAATAGGTCGGGTCGATGCGAGTACCCATGTCCTCCCGCCTTGACGGGTCAAGTAGAAAATGTCATTCCTACTCTCGTTATGATTTGTTGAAATGACAAATAAAATATGATGCGAGCATAAATAGATATAATTGGTGTTTATACTATTTAACTTCTCACATAATGCTGAATAGACTTTTTTTTTTTGTATTAGAAGAGTAAAGACTGTGAACAGTCCTAATTTACCTCTTAATTTGGTCACATGAGTACATTTTGTTTTTTGTCAATAGATAACTTGCATTACCAAGAAAAGATAGAAAGTTTACAGCACAAAACTCGCCCATAAGCGAAAATCAAACCCTGAAATACTGATAGGACACAATGAAAGGGCTTTTTTAGCCACCAAATGGCCACCCGATTGCTACGCCTACCTATATATCGGACTGCGAAACAAGACATCTGTTGTTTCCAACCACTAATCTCTTGCAGAATTGCACCACCTTTAGCATCCATCAAATCGCCACGATGAATCTGATTCACAACCACCTGCACATCCCCAAGGAATTCTATACCCTAAATATCATGCATTGCACACCAACGAATAGCATCCCTAAACGCCAGAAGTTCCACCAGGTAAGGATCCACCATACCCAAAGCGAAAATAATTGAACCTGCACTATCCATTATCACCATTCCAGCCGCGCCATGAGACTCGGTGCACACAACACCATCAATATAACACCAAAAAGGGGAGGGAGGAAGGACCGGCGGGGTGGGCAGCTGGGCAGGAGGGTGGCGAACTGGAGCCCCATCATTCAGACTCCTCCATCCCTGAACCTGCAAAGAGAATTGGCGCAAGAGGAATAGGGTTGTATATTGTATACCATCAAAAGCAGCCCAATTACGGGACTTCCAAACCCGCCAAAGGAGTGAAACAAAGGCCATGATTAAATCTGGATCAACACTCTGCTCAAACCATCGACGCACAAACATGGCAATTTTAATCTCCAGAACACCTACCCTCGACTGCATTAGGCCCTATCCTTTCCACAGTTCTCGAGCCACGCGACAATGGAGAAACAAGTGCTTAATGGATTCACATTCATAGCAGGAAACCGGACATTGTAAGGGTACAACACATCCCTTCTCCCGCAGTGCTTCCATCGTCGGCAACACCCGGCGCATAACTTGCCACATGAAAACCTTAAGCTTCGGAAGAATATTGAAGCCCCAAACCCTTTTCCAGAATGTAGCATCAAACCATGACACCTCTTCTTTCCAACCACGTCCAGATCGATTTACCCGAACACCCAAGTGGTACCCCGACTTGATCATGTACTCCCCAGAAGGATCCCCCCCCATATCAGCCTGTCATGCGCGACATCACGGTGTAGAGGAATCCCCAGAACTCGTTGGACAATGTTGGAGGGGAAGCATTGGTCGAAGAAATCCCGACACCACTCACCTATCTCCTCATTAATCAATGTGTCCACAGTCTGGTCCGGCTGAAGCAACACCGCCAACGGGGGAAGAGAGCCCGAAATAACACCCGGAATCCAGTTATCTTCACGCATCCTTGTGCTCTCCCCATTGCTAATCTGCCAACGGAGTCCATATAACAGTAAGCTTCGCCCGACAATAATACTCCTCCACCCCCAAGAAGGCCGTGACCCACAACCAGCCGCCATGAAATCAGAACAAGGAAAATATTTTCCTTTGAGAAGCCGGGCCAACAAGCAGTCAGGTTCAGTCAAAAGTCTCCAGCCAATTCTCGCTAGAAGAGCTTAATTCATAGTCTCAAAGCGCCTGAAGCCCATCCCGCCATCGAATTTGCTACGACACAAATTCCGCCATGAAACCCAAGGAATTCGATTTCCCCCTTCTTGGTTACCCCACAAGAATCGAGCCATATGACGATCAAGCTTTCGACAGAGGGTACGGGAAAGCAGGAAGCACGCCATAGCATAAAATGACATTGCCGCGACAACCGATTTGAGTAATGTTTCCTTAGCAGCCCGCGAAAGGTGGCGTTGCTTCCATCCCTGCAATTTCTCAAGATGTTTTTCCTCAATGAACCGAAAAGTCTCCATTTTTTACCTATGAACAAGGCTAGGAAGGCCAAAATATTTATCATGAACCTCGATAGTACTTACCCCTAGGTTCGCAGCCCTTGCCTGCCTTTCTTCCTCATCGATATTCTTAATGAAAAATACTGCCAATTTTGCTAAGTTCACTTTCTGACCACTCAAATTTTGGTACTCTTGCAAAATGGCTACCAGTTTAGAACACTCCTGTGGAGAACAGCGGAGGAACAGGTAGGAATCGTCAGCAAAGAACAAGTGAGAGATGACCGGACAGGAGGAGCGAATTTTATTTCCCGCCAAATCACCTCTCTCAATTGCTTGGCGAATATGGGCTGCGAAACCCTCCGTACAGATCGCAAAGAGAAGTGAAGAAAGAGGATCACCCTGTCTCAATCCTCACGAGGAAGGGAAGAACCCAGCTGGTTTACCATTCATCATCACTAAAAAAGAAGGAGTCGTGATTAGCTCCTTGATCCACTGTATCCATAGCGGACGAAACCCCAATTTCGCTAAGAGAGCAAGTAAAAAAGGCCATTCGACTCTGTCATAGGCCTTTTCAATATCAACCTTTAAAGTCATATATCCTTTTTTACCTTGCTTCTTATTTCTCAGGTAATGCATAATCTCATGACTGATCAGGACGTTGTCTACAATTTGTCGGTCTCGAAAAAACCCATTTTGCTCCGGTGAGATAATGTGAGGAAAATGAGTTGCTAACCGTTCTGCCAGTATTTTTGAAATAATTTTGTAGAACACCTGACACATACTGATGAGGCGCATTTGTTTTATAGTTTCTGGAACGTCTACTTTGGGGACCAAAGTCAACCAAGTATGATTTAAACTGCGCAGAATACGACCCGAGTCAAAAAAAGACCGAAATGCCTCAATAATGGAGGGGCCAATAATTCCCCAATAAGCTCTATAGAGTTTACTAGTAAACCCGTCAGACAGTAGATTGAGTTGCTCCAATGGAGAACACTGCTCTCTTAATCTCATCCGGCTGAACCTCCGCCGTCAACTGAGTATTCATTTCTTCTGAAACCAAGCCTGCCAGAGGTAGAGAATTGACCCGAGTTTCCATGTCAGGAACCTGATTTTCGGAGAGGAACAACTTATAGAAAGAAAAAGCACGATCAGCTTTCTCTTTCTCTCCACGTCCCATCAAGAGGTTGGAGTTTTTCGACATGATTTCCTCACCGTCGAGCCCGAGTCACAACATGAAAGTAACTGGAATTCTGATCACCTTCCCTCAACCAGTGGAGTCTAGATCGTTGGTACCAGTACCTCTCTTCGGCAGACCATTGACGATTAAGTTCCAATTCAAAACTATTGATTCTATCCCAGTTAATAGGTACCTCTTGCTTCAAGGTTTCAATCTCATCCTGCATGATTCGAATGTTTCGCGCTGAATTACTTGTACCTGCGCGGATCCAGTCATAGAGAAGATGTCGCAGTTGCTTCAATTTAGACCACACCTGGTACATTGCCGAGCCATCAACTTGCTGGTTCTACACGTATTGCACAAAAAGCTTTACTTCCGGGTTATCCGCCCATCTAGCGTCAAATCGAAAGAGAGGCCGAGAAGGAAGCACATAAGGTTTATCGGCAATGAGTAAAGCACGATGGTCAGATCCAAGGTCTTACAATGCTGCACAAAGTACTGGGGAAAGGTTTCGAGCCAACATTGGAGGCCAAAGCTCTATCCAATCTTTCTCTAACACTTGTAGTCCCCATCCTTCTGTTAGACCAAGTAAACGGGCTACCGCTAAATCCCATATCCTCAACCCCCATTATACCCCCATCTTTCTCTGAGGAGCTCAACACACAATTCATATCGCCAACAATGATGTACGACACATGAAGATCCAAACAAAAGTGAGTTATAACATTCAATTGCTAAGACCTGATTTGAATATCACAAGCTAGGTAAACACACACCAACACATAATCAATATCCATTTCATTATTATGAAGCCGACAAGCAACAAAAAAAGAACATGAAGCTTCAACAGTTACACCCAAGTTCGGGACCCAACCAATAGCTAAGCTGCCGGAGGAGTTCATTGCATCAACTAGAAAACAAGACTTAAAACCCAATCCACACATCCTATGGGTAAAAACCCTCCTACTAGCTTTAGTTTCCAATTTAAACACAAAATCAGGACAATTCGACCGACACAGACCGAGGATAGAACGAAATGTAAGGGACGGTCCGATTCCCCTTACATTCGAGGCGATCATCTTCATTTATCTCCTTGGGCCCATTTACGGCTGGCCACCTCCACCGTTGCAGCAGCATCAGTACATCCCTCAGTCTGAGATGTCTTTCTCTTCTTCAGAACTGTAGGATCATCAGGGAGATCGTTAACCACATCTGACGGGCGCTTCTTTTCTCCAAACTCGTCCTCTAGATCCGGAGCCACCATCCTGAAATCTGTGGAGCTCTTTTGGGGCGCATTTGTAGGAGTCAAATCCGTAGCAACTTGATGGTCAACAGGTACCACCTTTTTCTCTTTCAAAGTCTGAGCAGCGGGGGTTGAAGTCGCTTGCTGATCTGAAACAGTCTGCTTCCCATCACTCCCCATAGAAGCATCACCTCTGCCGCTTCCTGATGAGGAGAAGCTTCCACGACCAGATTTCTTGTTGTAACCACGCCCTTTGCCTCGACCTTCCATATTTTCTGTACGTGGCATCACAGGAGTACCTGCAGTCATATTAACAACATGGTCACGGGTATCTGATAATCCCGTTTGAGATAGTCCGCGGATAATGTTGTTAGGAACAATATCCTGGTCAATGTCCATATCACCTCCAGCCATTGGATTGTTCTGGACATGTCTTTCCTCAATAGGTTCCACGCCTATGGTTGCCGGATTGATCCAGACAGCAGTCGGGCTATCACCATAAACCTTTCCTGGCTTCCAATTCTCCTCCATAATCCGATGACCCACTATTTTAGTGGTAAGCTCCTGCCCATAGTGCTCGTCACCCTCAGGACCAGGGAACGAGCAATCACTTTCCATATGCCCCAGCCTGCCACAATGATAACAGTATAGTGGCAGGAACTCATAAACAAGCGTAACCCAGAACTCACCAACCTCCAGGTTACTCGCATAAACCTGCGAACGCAGAGGCTCCAAGACATTCAGCTTAACTCAGTTCTTGATGAAATGGTCAGGCTCGCCGTTGATGGCAAACACTCCAGCATCCAAAACTTCTCCAATCATTGATGCGGCCACTCTCTTACCGAATGGGGCATACTTGAAGAATTCCACCAGCGCTGGGGTAATTGGAGCCCATCTCTGCAAATGGAGGACTCTATCCTTGACCGGCCAAGGAGTCCGATGAAGAACCTAGTCCCGGTCTGACTCGGTAGAGAAGAAGAATTGGAGGAGGCCTCATTCTACTTCGAGGACCTGCACTTTGCATTCCCATGATCCGCTAACAATCTTGTGAATAACCGACAGGCTCGGGGGACATTTTTCATAAACAATCTTCCCAAGAGGCTCAGCTTTGCTTGTTTCAAAGCAGACTGCACATCCTTAGTCTCAAAAGAAACAATTTGGTTTTTGTGCACCAAGTTCTTAGCCGAATCCATCTTCACAGATGCTAAAACTCACTGCAAAGGACAAATATCAACCATAAAGGAGAGTATAAATCCCACAAACGGGCATATCCATAACCAGAATTGTTTGAAGAGGTAAATCAAAGAGGTTACTATAAATCCAATACATGGACAGATCCACCGCCGAAATTGACTAAGGAGGGATAGAGCACAAGAGAATAACATACCACACCGAGAATCTATTCGATTCCCACAACCGCAGTGGCTCAAGATACCTAATCTCTTGTTTGCTCCAATCGATTGACTCTCAATGGTGAGTGTTCCCCTGCCCTTACACAGGTATAAATAGCCCGAAGGAGGAATCAAATCGAGGATTAGCTTGGAGATATTCTCAGGATTTGAGATTATCCCCCCCCCCCCCCCAGCGGTGGTCGTTGTCAATAATTATCTCCAAGATCCCTTCTGAGGGAGACTTCTAGTTGCTGACCAACCCTAACTTTCATCCACAAAGGGATAGACTGCAACTCTCGTGCAGGAACTACTCGGCGAATCAATCGCTCCATAAGGCCTTCCTCAACCTTGGAGTAGGAGGATGAGTCCTGATAAAAAACTTTCGGCCGTCGATTGGACATCGTCTTCAATACGGGTCTCGCAGAAGAAACCCTACGAGGAATCGCCTCTGCGATTCTTTTGCCAAAGAAAGAGAGGAGAGATGAGAGAGCGTTGGAGAGCATTTTTTTTATCGTGATCCTATATGTGAATGTGCATGGTCACATGAGTACATGATCAGGACTAAATTGATTCACATAAACTATAATAACATTTTTAATGGGCCGCGAATTACAGGTTTACGGTGACTTAAAGTGCTTCTCTCTCTGGGCGGACCTCTCCAAGACACTGTCAATTTAGCAAACCTGCGAGCAAAAGACAAGAAGAAAACTATGTTTGGCCCGATTTTTAAAAATGCTTTTTGTTTTCAAAAGTTGAAACAGAGTCAAATATCTTTAAAATCTCGATTTTTGAAAAGCTGAAAATTGATTTTCTATAACATAAAAGCAAAAGCTCCGATGAGAGCTTCAACGAAAAGCTGTTTTGAAAATAGAAGATTATCTTTACCATATTTTGATTTTATTTTAAAAAATATAATTTTACTTCATTAATATCATTTATAAAAATAAAAGAAATTATTTAATATAAAAGAAATCTAACAAAATGCATTTTGACTTTTTTTTATAATTTTATTTATATTTTATATTATAAATTCTGTATAGTCATTTTACACAACCTTTTATATTAAAAAACACTTCTAATAGTTTTTCAGCCAAACACTCAACTGCATTTTTTGAAAACTACATTTCTAACAGCTCTAGCCAGAAACTGTTTCTCCAAAAACTACAGCAGGGCCAAACTAGCCCGAAAACATTTAACAGACGAGTGTTTCAACGTGGGATTGCCAATATGACACTAGTCTATGAAATTGATTTTTTTGTTAGGATTTATGCTTTATCTAAGCTTATATTTTTATGTACAATGCTCAACATTATATATAGGTTTTCTAACACAAACCCTAACTACATAACTTGGCCATTTACAATTAGATAAACACAATTATACTAGCTCCCTAATATAATGTACATGCACCTGAATATGTTTTGTCCAATCATGTGATACTTGTTTTATGGAAATTTTGAACGCTCGTATTGTCTACATAAACCACCATGGGCACTTGACATACCACCCCTAGCCCTTAAAACAAAATACACCAACCTTAATTCAGCCTTCTGATTTCAAGACATCATGCATAGTCTACATCAATGCAATTAATATTTCAATTGGGTTAATCGCAACCACAACCGAACATGAAATAACCGATTAACTAACCACAATTAATATTTCAGTTGGGCCTTCACAACTTACAGTAGCCTCTGTAATAAACAACTAGGTGGCGATGACACACCTTGTTGCGGAGTGGAGATGGTCTATGTGCATGTATTATGTTGCCCGTTACGGTGTTTTGTTAGTATTATTAGTCTAAAATTAATTTTTTGTTAGCAGTTTTGTTAGTAATATTGAATTGACCATATGATATTGACTGAGAAGAGATATATGGCGGTCAACATCCAATGTTTTTGAAAATTTTGTCTAGTAAATGATATTTACCTAAACCCGAGTAGACCCACTAATTATAGGTAGGGTATGGGTGACGTATATATGAGTTTGGAAATTTGTAGTTGGGTTTGAGTAGAGTTTGAATATTTACTTCCATAATCTAAATGTGTATGAGTTGGGTATGAATACCCATTTATTCGAGAGTGTTTTAATTACACATACAAAAATTAAACTTCTTTGTAGAGCTTTAAAAGTTTAGCTACCAAAATGTTATACACAAAAAATCAACATTTTGAGGACTTATATATTTATACTTGTGATTAGAATACATAAAATTAGTATACTAATTAGGGTTAGACGAAGAAGGCAAAGAAAGAAATAAAGAAAGGGTTATGGAAGGCGAGTGAAAAATGAAACGAAGAGGAAGTAGATGATGGAAAGGTTTTGACCAATTCTTTTAGTTGAACATCAATACAACAATCAACCCTTTTCACCGTAGCAATTTATTGACATTTTCTTATGTAGATGACACATATTTTGGTACATGTAGATAGTAGAAGTTTGTTTAGTACCCAGTAAATGTACCAAATGAGTTTATAAATTCGCTCTTCTAATATTTTAGCGTCGTCTCTCTTTTATAATTTATTTAATGATTCACGTAATGAGCAAATATAGAATGTTCGTATCTTCTCCTATAGTTGAGTGATACAAGATCTTGTATTGTATAAAATAAATTTATACTTTTATATTATGGTTGATTGGATTCATGGATTGGTTCAAAAGGATTGGTGGATTGAATTCATGGATTCAAGTGAAATCTAAACATTGGATTGATATGTAAATTTATAAAATTGTAGGTACGAAATTATCATAAAATTTCCAAAATATAATTTTTCAATGATTTTATATTAAATTAAATTTGGGGTATCAAAATGTAAAAATGCACATTATAGTAACTAAGTTGTGATTTAATTAAATTTGCGGTATCAAAATGTAAATAATTAGTGAACAGTAACCAAACTTCACATTCATATAAATTTGGGGTATCAAAATGCAAATAATTAGTGAACCGTAACCAAACTTCACATTTATATATATGAATTTCTAAGTATAATTAATTATGATTGTGATTGAATGATGTAGAGTCCAAAATCAATGAGTATGTGAGCTCCGAAACTCACCATCGCGCACACTAGTAGCAATTTGGCATGACTAGCTAGTATAATATAAACTAGTCGTTGTGGTTAACTGCTAATCATATTCGGTGCGGTTGACGGATATGGCTTCATTGCAATTTGCGATTGATCAGATAATTTTGGTTCAGTTAACCACAATTGTATCGTTTTCCAACCCTATATGTCACGGTATTCGTGAACCATTTTTTTATGGTTATGGAGTTACTACTCTTTTTGATGCCTTATACTGGTGTATGACCCATGACTTTTTGATTGTTCATTTCGTTGATGATTCACAACTGGTAATTCGCCTATCGATCTAGTATCGGATTGAACCTATATGGATACCATTTTACATTCATATTTGAACATTATTTAACAATTGAAAATGTTAGTATCAATTGATTCTCCGTCAAACATTTTTGGTAGAAAAATCATGTTTTTCCTCTCAAGTTACTGTCCTTTTTTGTAGTAGGAGGGGACCCTTCTTCATTGACAAATTTCTCAAACCTAATCCCCATATCCCTTAATCGATCTAGCTCGTGACTGCAAATGAGCCACAAAGCACATAATTTGAAAAAAATGGTCCCAGTTTTTATCTTCTTATTTTTTTCGTTTTGTCACGTGACAGTACCTTCTACTCCAAAGTCCAAAACAAGGTGGTACAATTGGTTTGTCAGTTTCGCTTGTAATGTAACAATATACTCTTTACTTTTGGTAAATTTTATGATGATGTTTTAGATGTGTGATGTTACATGGTGGTGTCTAATATATATAATTATTTGATTTTTTCATTTGCCATGACTCCCAACTAGCTAGTAGCTACCCGACATATATACTACTATCTCGAAGCTTTTCATTCGTGAGTAAAGGTCATTGTAGAGAATGTCTATTTTTTTTTTCTTTCTCTTTTAACTTATTATCGTTTTTTCCCTTCTCAAATGCTTCGATGGAGATGTTTATTTCGTTAAGAAAATAAACTATTTCAATAATAGAATAAGGGGTTGTTTGGAACTTTTAATTTTGAAAATAATATATTATGATAATGTTTGTATTAAAGATTATGTGTATACTAAGAATGTATATGGTTCTGAAAATTCATTGTTTGGAATCAATAAAAGAATACATGGATTATAGTTTAAATGGCCTATGGATACTAAATCTAAAAAAAAAAAGTAAGATTATGAATACATCTTTTTCTATGTATTAGGAATACAACATGGATTATAAATACATGCATTCTGTTATTACACCAAGTCAAAAAAACGTTGTATTCTCATTATACATGTATATGGAGAATACAACATTTGGAATCGGAGGCCGGTAATTACATATACGAACTACCGCGGTGGTTAGTTGACACTCTTTACGTGATTTTGTTGGCTCTATAGGAAGCGTATCGCAATTACGGTCCAGACTCTAGATCCTCGGCTTTTCAGCACGTTTTTATATGATTCACAGCCGGGCTAGATTTGCATTCCGACTAACCACACACACCCTGTAATATACGGGCTAGACAGACACGACCACATAAATATATATCTTTTCCAAAGAGCCGGCCACGTGTACCAAATGGGCAAAGGAGAGGTACATACTATAGATTATGGATATTAAGGATGTGTTTGTTCATCTTAGTCTTTCGCAAAAAGAAATATTTCTCGTAATAATTTGAGTTGTTGACAGAGTTCTAATAATGAATTTTATATAATTTACTAATCTGTTTTCTCAAACAATGGCCAACTCATATGGAATTGAAGTGTGCACATATCAGAATACATGTGCTTAACAAATTAAATGCGGGTCTTCGAGATCCGAACATAAGAACTTTCGGGTATAGAAGGCTCTGATACCATGTTAATAACCAGTTAATCTCAAAAAGTTGAATTGTTGGGAGATGTTCACTATGAATCACATATCATTTACTAACACACCTTCTCAAACGAAAACTATTGTATTCATAATTAACATTCTCTCAATAATTTGAGTTATTGGGATCAACTGGTTCTAAACATGATATTAGAGCTAGTTTGACAAAGTGACACGTATGTCGAAATCTCCACGGCCTCTAATATTAACAATTAATTTAAGCATAATCTATTGTAAACTTGTACAAACTTCATTTCTATGAGTTGGAAAGCATTTTAACTCTCAAGCATATTGCTCCGCTTTCAGCTTCCTTCGTAGTCCGCACAACTGGTTCCCAAGTCGAGGCGCATAAAAGCAAACCCAAAAGGCCAAAACATCTATTCCATTCTCGAACAACTCCCTCGAGTAAATTACTATGTTAAACTAATACAAAATTAACAAATGTAAAATATAACGAACGCGAAAAGTAAAAGAGACAAGGATTTAACGTCACTTCCCCGATAACGGGACTACTCCACGGAGAGAGCTTGACCTCTCAATAAGGTTTCACTAGGTTATGGCAGAATAGAGAATATGTCCAAGGTTATAGCAGCTAGCCGAAAACTGCTTAGCTAAATACCCTTCTATTGGTAACTTAGGGTAAATAGCCAAATTACAATATAGTACCTGAAATATCACTCGGTTACTATATACACGCCAACACTCACCCTCAAGCTGGAGCATGAAGGTCACAAATGCTCAGCTTGGACAAAAGCAAACAAAACTGGTCTGCGCCAAGAGCTTTGGTGAGAATGTCGGCCAACTGAGAGGTAGTGCTGATCTTCAGAGGGTGGATCTCACTAGAGGCAACACGCTCGTGAACAAAGTGACAACCCATCTCCATGTGCTTGGTACACTCATGGAAGACGGGGTTGGCTGCAATATGAAGGGCAGCCTGGTTGTCGCAAAACAGAGGCGTCGAAGCAGCTTGTGGGACACCAAGTCTTTTGAGAAGGAAACGGAGCCAGACCACCTCACTAATGGTTCTCGCCATGGCCCGATATTTGGCCTCGGCGGAGGAACGGGCAACCACACGCTACTTTTTCGTGCGCCAAGAGACGGGAGCATACTCGAGTTGGATGTAGTATCCCGTGGTAGACCGACAAGTGGACTGACAGCCACCCCCCCTCCCCCCCCCCCAATCTGCATCACAGTAACTTGTAAGCTGCAAAGAATTATCAGACGGGAAGAAAAGTCCCTAACCTGGCGCAGTCTTAAGGTAACGAAGGACACGAGATGAGCTGTAGTCATGTGCTCCGGACAAGGGGCATGAACAGCCTGGCTAAGAACATTAACTACATAGGTGCTATCAGGTCGGGTAACGGTGAGGTAAAGAAGTCGTCCAACAAGCCGACAATAAGCAAAAACATCAACAAACTCATCCGCGGTACTAGGACGAGTAAGGGAATGGTTCTGCTCCATGGGGAATCGACTGGGATGAGCACCCGTAGCACCGACATCACGAAGAATATCAAAATTATATTTGCGCTGTCTAAGCACAACACCCTCCGAAGAACAAGGTACCTGGTGCATTATAACTCCCGTGGGCCTTGGTGCCGAGTTGGGCTTAGTAATTAGGGAATTATTATTAGTTAATTATCATATTATTGTGGCTATTTGTATTAGTTTATTGTGTCTTGTTGAGTAAGTTACTGTTTACTTGTTGGGTTGCGATTAGTTTACCTTATTTGAGAGGGAAAGGGTTTGTAGAGTAGTTCTATAAATATGTACGTTGTTCTTTGGTTTTAGTACGTCAATGAATAATAAACCAGTTTAGTAGTATTCGTAGTAATTTAGGAGTAGAAGTAAAGTAGATTATTGTCTCTCGATGCATTAGAAGCTATAATGCGCCAATTGGTATCAGAGCCTGGTTACGAGGCGATGAGCACCGAATGGCTCTCCAGGGATGACCTCAATCAGCTAATCCGACTGACCGAAAGCGCCCTGTCTTGTTGCGGAAGGATTGTGACGGCCTGTGAGAGAACAACCGCATCCGCTGCCCTCACCACCATGTCACCGCCAGCACCCAGCTTCAGCGTACCGCTGCCGCCATTAGCCGTTCCTCACGCCACCACCAAAGCTGATCGGTTCCGCTCGATCGGTCCAACCATCACCCCAAAAGCAGCGCCGACCTTGCTGTCCACTCCAAGACCACCAGGATGGTCATCGCACCACCATCGCAGCTTGTCAAAACCCTAGAACCAGACGACAAGGTTTCGAAGCCACCAGAGAGTCTCACGATTCCGAAAAGATTACGAATCAAGCGAGACCCTAAGGCGGCGAACTGGAAGCTTAGGAAGAGGAGAGAACAAGCTGATGTTGGAGTTTCGCATGCGGTTGTCGCCGTTGAAGTCCGAGTGGAGTTGGTTTGTACAACCGAGGAATGTAGGGAGTTTGGGGACGCAATTGATAGCGTAGCCGGACAACCAACTACCACAATCACCGTGAACAGCGCCATGGAGCCATCTCTTTCTACCGCCAAAATTGAAAGAAATTTTGGGTACTTAGCTGAGCGTGAAGTTTTGGCGGACCCAACTGAAATCCATAGGCGTCATACCCTCCATCTTGCCCTGGACGCCGACGTAGTCGACTCGAAGTCTCCTCGAACTTCCAAGCCAATAAGATCGCTAGCTACGGAAAGCTATGAGCAGCGGAAACATGTATGCAGGATGAGAGGTGTTTCTGCGTTTCAGTTCGATCCGGGCGGGAGCGAACTCGATTTCGTCGCTTCATCCATGACCACACCACCATCATCGATCGTCTCGGTCAGCACACCTAGAGTGTACAAGAAACAAGAGGAAAACTATTTACAATGGGGTGAGAGTCCTCCCGTGCAAGTTTTGATCACGAGGGGTTTGAAGAAGGAAGAAAGTGAAATTAAGGATGAAATCTTCCTTTTGAAGAATGGCATGCAGAACATGAACAAATTTGCTAATGGATATTGGTGGGGCTCTCGTGTGCATGGACATGAAGTAGGTGAAATGGTCGTTGAGGCAATTGGGCGCACAATTGATGGGATGATTGGATCGGATATGGTTTCAGGGAAGTCAAGAATCATAGGAGCTGCTGATGTGGACTATGTCCGAGTTCTGGAGCGTAATTGGAAGTATCGCAAGCGTGGGTGTCGTCGTCCAAGCCTCGTCATCGTCCATCACAAGCTACGTGGAAGCTTCTTCTTCATTGATCCAGGTTGAAGATGGCGCCTGAACTTCGGGGACGAAGTTCTTCAAAGGGGGGAGGTTTGGTGCATTATAACTCCCGTGGGCCTTGGCGGCGAGTTGGGCTTAGTAATTAGGGAATTATTATTAGTTAATAATTATCATATTATTGTTGCTATTCGTATTAGTTTATTGTGTCTTGTTGAGTAAGTTACTGTTTACTTGTTGGGTTGCGATTAGTTTACCTTATTTGAGAGGGAAAGGGTTTGTAGAGTAGTTCTATAAATATGTACATTGTTCTTTGGTTTTAGTACGTCAATGAATAATAAACCAGTTTAGTAGTATTCGTAGTAATTTAGGAGTAGAAGTAAAGTAGATTATTGTCTCTCGACGCATTAGAAGCTATAATGCGCCAGTACCTCAATTCCCAAAAAGTACTTCAGAGTACCGAGGTCCTTGATGCTGAACCTGGCATGAAGAAAAGACTTAACATGGGAAATGAACTGAGGATCTGTACCGGTGAGGATGACGTCGTCGACATTAGATGAGAGAAGCCACAAACCGCTCGCCCTTGCGGTGAAGGAGAGATGGGTCCGCACGAGAGGGGACAAAACCGAGTCGCTTAGTGCAAGGGTGAACTTGTTGTACCAGTTCCGTGAAGCTTGTCGTAGACCATACAGGGACTTCCTGTGGCGGTAGACTCGAGTATCTCCTTGCGTAGCAAAACAAAGTGGGACTTTCATGTAAACCTCCTCCTGGAGATCACCATGTAAGAAGGCATTGTTAACAACCATCTAGTGTAAAGTCCATCCATGGCTCACAGCGACAGCAATGAGCACTCAAACGGTAACAAGCTTCGCGACTGGAGCAAACCTGTCATGGAAGTCGACACTCTCGATCAGAGTAAACCATTTGGCGACAAGACGCGCTTTAAAGCGCTCGATCGAGCCAACCGGGTTATACTTGATATTGTATACCCATTTTCGATCAATGGCCCTTTTGCCAAGGGGTAAAAATTATAAACTCCATGTGCCGTTGGCCTTCAAAGCCAAAATCTCCTTGGTCATTGCCTCCCACCAACAGGCAAGTTGCACTGCGTCCCAGAAGTGCTTGGGCTCAACCGAAATACCCAGAGGAGAAAAACTACCCTGGATGACAGGAGAAGGAGCTGGCGAAGAACTAGGCTGGAATGGAAACTCATTTTCGACGAAATGAACATCCCGAGAAGCCTGAACTTTACGGGTAGCAAGATCGTAAACCCAGTAGCCCTTTTGGGTGTAAGGATAGCCCATGAATACACCCCGTCGACCCCGCTCAGCAATTTTATCGAGGCCATGGTGGGTTTCTTTTGCGTACACTAAACACCCAAAAGTACGAAGGTGGCTGTAGGTGGGAGCCGCATCAAGTTAAAGCTCGAAAGGGATTTTGTTGCTCAAAACTGAGGAAGGGAGCCTATTTATTAAATAGGCGGCAGTCAAGACGCATTCCCTCCCAAACCGGACTGGTAAACCTGCATGGAAGCGAAGGGCACGTGCAGTGTCAAACAGATGGCGGTGCTTCCACTCAACCACACCGTTTTGTTGTGGTGTATTAACACAAGAAGTCTACAGTATGATGCCATGATCTGTGTAGTAGCTGCGAAGGAGATTAGTCTGGAATTCAAGACCATTGTCGGCTTGGATCCGCCGAACCGTGCGGTGGACCTGAGTGACTACCATATTACAAAACATAAGAAGATATTGCTCAACATTAGACTTGTATATGAGCAGATAAACCCAAGTAGCCCTGCTATAATCATCAACCACAATCGAGAAAAACCGAGAGTTATCCAATGACGGAGTCTTATAATCTCCCCATATATCCACATGAATCAAAGCAAAACAACTAGTCGTAGTGATCGAACTAGAAGGAAAAACATTGCGAGTCTGCTTAGCTCGCCAACAAGAATCACAATGTGTTTAAAAGAACCAGCCACTGTCGAACCCAACATAGTATTTACACAAAAAACTTCTCAGCAGAAGGATGACCTAAACGCTGATGCCAGATGAGAGGTCTTCAGTTCCCGTCGCCGTGTGCACCACAGAGGATCATCACACAGGACTTGGCGTTAGATTCACCTTCTGCAGATAGTATAAGCCTTCACTTAGGCGACCCAATCCAATCGCTGTCTTGGAACGTAAGTCGTGAATCACCAAACATCAGCCAAGAAAAGTGAAGCGACATCATGGTCCTGCGTAAGACGACTGACAGAAGGTTGCATTTGAACTCAAGCACATGAAGAACTCTCCTCAAGGTGAGATGATCAGTTAACGCTAGTGTGCCTATACCCTCCACAGGAATACTCATCCCGTTGGGAATTCGAACAGACAAATATGTGCCAGTACGATCGAAAATGTCTAACCAGCTAGCATCCCTAACAATATGCTCATTGCACCCAGAGTCAATAAGGCATTCGTATAGTTCAGTAGTGTTACCAGCCATGTGAGCCGTTGGATTGGTGGGTTCAGAAGAATGTGTGTTGAGGAACTGCTTCAACTGCTCGAATTGAGCATGTGTCATACCAGGAATAGGGCTATCATCACCATGCACCTGCGCTGCCCGTGGTGTCTCGCACGGCTGCTTGCGAAGAGGTGGAGGACAATCTCCTTGTTTGGATGGGTAGCCTATGAGCATATAGCACATCTCCTTAGTGTGCCTCAGTCGTCGACAATGTGAACAACAAACTTTACCCTCGGAATCAGCCCCCTTTTCCCCTCAAGTTTGAAAGGCGGCGGAATCGACATTAGGGCGCCGAGAAGCCGAGAGCTGGTGCTCTTGTTCTTCAGCAGCAACTAGTTGATAAGCTTCGGCCAGATATGGTATTGGTTTAAGGCTTATAATTTGAGTCATAATAACCAAAAAATTATCATCCAACCGAGCAGAAAATGGAATAGGCGCTCCGTCTCAAGTTTCTCACGAGTTTGTTTAACTATATCACATGAACATCCGTTGCAGCTGCACATGGGATTGATGCTAACAACATGCAGTTCATCCCAGTAGGTACGGAGTTTGGTGTAAAAAGCACTTATAGAGAGTTTCTCCTAACGAAGTGAGCCAATGAGCCCACGCAGCTCATACGCATGAGCGACGGAGCTAGTAACAAACTGTTGCCGAAGATCCGACCAACTATCACGTGCCGTTTTGGCCCCACACATGTTGTTCCGGACTTCTTTATTCATGGCAGTCTTAAGCCACCCTTTAACCATAGCGTCGCACCGATCCCAAGCATCGAGGCACAGTCCGCTACCGGCAGAAGAACGCGGCAAAGAGCCATTGACGAAAGCCAATTTATTCTTGGCAATAAGAGTCTTCGTCTTATCATTAACCAATTCGCCATAATTCAGATCCGTTAACAAATCAGATCCGAACAACTGGCCGGGGTTCTCCGACGGGTGCAGGAAGAGTGGAGAGGTGAGCGGAATTGAGTCGGCACCGGTGACGAAAGCCTTGCTATCGGTTGCAGTATTCCCTCTAGTCACGATGACAGTAATCGGCTAGAAGGATCGATTACCGCTCTAATACTATGTAAAATATAACGAACGCGGAAAGTAAAAGAGATGAGGATTTAACGTGGTTTCCCCGATAACGGGACTACTCCACGGAGAGTTTGAGCTCTCAATTAGGTTTTACTAGGTTATGGCAGAATCGAGAATCTGTCCAAGGTTACAGCAACTAGCCAAAAACTGCTTAGCTAAATACCCTTCTATGGGTAACTTAGGGTAAATAGCCAAATTACAATATAGTACCCGAAATATCACTCGGTTACTATATATTCGCCAACAACTAAATCAGGATAGGGATGGTGATCGCGTTAGATGCATAAGTCTTACCCTAGATTAACAAGCAGATTGTGTATCTTGGTGTACCTTATCACAAAAGTGAATCACTATTTATAACAATTGCAAGATTTTGAAAACATTTACTATATTAGTGTTTAGTGTTTACACCATTAAATACTTTTATTAAATACCATATGGATAATTGGTCTGCTTTAAATGCTCCGCCATGCATAATAAATTGCTGTCGGGTTGGCAATAATTTTGGCTGATAGTAATCGTGCCTAAAATGACCACTGTACATGTATATCATACAACCCTTTAGTAAATGATATCATCTAATATCATGGATAACAATGTCCAATCATTAAGTGGATTGTACCAATAAATGTCATGGATATTAATATTATCTCAAATACTAGATGGATGGGAGTATCTCATAACATGGATATCATACAACCCTTTAGTGAATTATATCTCAATTTATGGATGATGTCATCTCATATCATGATCATTATTCAAATTATTAAATCGATGATACCATCCATTGTTTCTATACGGTGACCATCCAGTTGTATGGTTACCGCCCATGGTTTGTTACGTTATCAGTCAATATGTACATCATTCAAACTTTTAGTGTTTTGTTACCATTCAATCATCCGTCTATGATATGCAGGGGTGATTGTCGAGTAACATGGTGATGTGTCAGGAGAGGGTTGTTACGGGGAGGCACAACCGACTTACAAGGAATAATTTTTTTTATAGAAATGCTTCTGCTTGTATTAAATAAAAGGTGGGTTTGTTACAATATCATCCTTTTGTAAAAGATATAAAAGGGGAACATGTGGTCTCTCTACCCATATAGCTTCCCCTTCCCAACCACACTCAGAGTGGGCCATAAAATGAGCCAGCTCATTAAATTTTCGGCCCACGAACTTCCAATCTAACCGACCCACCTCTACAGCCCGTTTCTTGATATCGTCACAAACCCAACCCAGCTCCAGCCTCGTCTGTCTTTCTCCTTGCAGCATTCTCTCCACCACCTGGTAGTCCATCTGAATTTCACTGGAAAGGAAATGATATCGACCAGCCAGCTCGATGTCGGATTCCACCGCCATAGCTTCATCAAATTCCAGATCCCATTGTCGCCGCGATCTTCTGACTGCCATTAAACCAAAGGAGCCTGCTCTGTCTCTCACCACCACCCCCATACCAGTTCCTTCGTCAGACAGGCATGCAGCA